TTTCGAGTAAAGTTTCGAGCTTTTGACTCCGTTTTTCCTTTCAAGTGCGTGTAAGAGTGGGTACTTAGTCTTAAGCCTCATTACTTCGTATATCTTTGTTTGCTTTTGTGAAAATTGATAATGTGCTTGAGTTGCTTGGAGAAAAAGATTGAATCTTTGGATCGTGAATGCTTGACTAAGTGTGACTAGGAGTTAAATGCTTGCTCGTTTGTGCTAGAGTTTGGTTTAGCTACCTAGGGTTTTAGCTAACATGGCAATGTTTGGTTATTTGTGTGCAATTGATCATAGAGACTCCCGCGAACCAAAATCTCTCTTTTCCCCTTGATTTCTCTCATCTTCTTGCGTGCTTAGTTAATTGTTTTCAATTGCTCTCATTTTGTAGATTAATCTAGTTTAAATTCAAACCCCCAAATTGCAAGTAGCATGTTTAGAACCTTTTCGGTTGTGTGATTTTGACGACTAGGTAGTGAACGAATCTCCGAACAACCTTCCTTTGAGAACGACCCGAGTCAGGTAGCTCGGTTACCACATGCCCAAAAATACTACTAATCAGTGATGCACGGGCTAATTTTAAAGTAAGCATTTATATTTAGATTATTGGAAAAAATTAAAAACCATATATTCGAATAAAACAAAATGTAACTTATATATTATTAAACAGAAAACAACGTACCTTTGTGTAAACCGTATTTAAGAAAATAAACGCTTGACACACACACACACACACACACACACACACACACACACATATATATATATATATATATATATATATTAGGAGTCTAAATAGGTTTAAATAAATAAATTAAATTATTTAGCGGGATATGTATGATATTATTTATACTGTTTTTATGAAGATTAGATAGCCAAATATAATGGAGATTGTAAAACGTTCTTAACAATCTATAACTTTATTATTTTAAAATCATAAATTACTTAATTTAATGAAAAAAAATTGGGTACGTGTATGCAATCAATTTCAAATTTGTATTTTATAGTATTAAACAAAACCAAATTTTTACGATATTCCAATCCGGTTTTATTTTGAATTACAAATTAATATTATCTAACTTTGTTTTATGCTAAAAAAATCTGAACTAAAGAAAGTAGTAGCCAAATGGTATGAGATTTTTAAATTTAAATTATCAATTTGAAATTGGCTCGATTTCTATGCAATCCGATTTTTTTAATAAACATGATTTGTTGCAATTAGGTAAAGATACATGTTATGATATTTTGCCTAATTCTAAATTTTTGACTTTATGGTAAACAATTTTTTTTAATAAAAATGAGAGAATTTTGACTTTTACAAAATTGTCATGCCGAATTTTAACCCGATTTCAATGCAATCATATTTTTAATAAACAATTGATCTGTTGCAATTAAAATGATATATACGATAGTATTTTTGCCTAATTCGAAATTCACGATTTTATCGTAATCCTTTTTTTTAGTTAAAAAAAAAATGAGAAAAAAATTTGACTTTTACAAAATTGTAAGTATCTGTCAAAATTTACCTAAATCAAATCCACAAAACCCATAAATTTAGGGTCCATATATAGCTGCTCCATATTTTGAAAATAATTTAAAAAGAAAATTAAAAAGCTGCCAAAAATAAAATGTAAATACTGGTTGACTTTTCTTGTTACTATTTTTAGTAAATAGGTTCTTTATTTATATATGTATAGATTGCACATAAAATCCTCACCTAAAATAGAATTGCATATAATTCTCAAGCTTTCTAGTTTTGAAAATAAATACTCCAGTTTTATTATGTGTAACAAATTTGTCTCAAAATTATTTTCGGCAACCCCGAGCTGACGTGTCCGACCAAAGTTCTTGCGTGGCATTTATGTTTAATTGAGTGGCATCATTTTGCCACATCACTAGTGGAAAACGACGTCGTTTGATGTTTTGCCTTTAACAAAAACACCAATTTTTTGTAAATAAAAAACCAAACACGACAAATTGGCAAAATTGGCTACAACCTCTATTTCACCTTTTGAAAAATTTAGGGAAAATTCCAAAGCGTGAACTAGGGTTTGAGGAGTGAAATTATGTTTCTTGAGAAAAAATTTAGGGGGGTGAAGATGATGTGTGCTAATTAAAGCTGATATGTTTGAACATGAGTGCCACCAATTAATTATAAATGCCACGTAAGAATTTTAATCGGACACGTCAGCTCGGGGTTGCCGAAAAATTATTTTGAGACAAATTTGCAACCCACAATAAAAGTGGAGTATCTATTTGCTAAGATAGAAAGTTTGAGATTTATATGCAAATCAATTAAAGGTGAAGATTTTATATGCAACTAAGCCTTGTTATTCTTATT